ACACATACATATATATATTTACCTATATATATGTATATGTCTATAGGCTTGAAAATTAAGATTCCTGTAGTGATTTTAAGTTGGGGAAGGAAGAAATTTAATTTAGAGATTTAACTGGGGTTGTACGTTTTTGGCTGGCAAAAGAAATATTATCCAGTGGTTTGTTGTTCACTTTATTTCCTTCAGAGCTAAGACTTGGACCAGGATGGTGTTGACTGTATTCTCCTGGAGCTTCCAGGACCACAGCTTCAAATTACAGTGGTCTGACAGAAGAGATAAAAGAATTGCTCTTTCAATTATTTTTTCAAGTTTATACTGTTTGATTGACAACTCGTGTGTTTGAATCCCTGCTTCTGTTTCTGGATTTTGTTACCTAAATACAGTTAAAGTTAGTGATTGTATAAGAGCAAAGAAATTGACTTTGAGGAAATTCAAGTATCTGACCAAGGACTGATGTTCAAGACCGTACAGGCCCTTCCCATCACACTGCCACAGTGGAACGGGATCCATTTTTTCTTTTAAAAGCAACCAAGAAAGCTAAGACTATCTCTGTGTGTAAAGCAGTTGCATTTTATAACTTCATTTTGACTCAGAATCGCAGATTGATTTGGTGATTAATAACTGTTGAAATGTCCAAGGACATTTTTACAAATTACTGTTACTTGTTCAAGCTAAGACTTTGTGGAAATCCTAGTCCACTAATTAATTTGAAAAACTAGTTTTGATATAAATTAATAGCACAGCTATCACATTACCTAGTCCAAAGAACTGTCTTGATAAGATGAATTGAAAACTCTGATTCTGAATCTTATTCAGTGATAATCTTTTCATCAACTTGTGGCCTGTTTTAGTTGGAACTCTGTGTGTGTGTGTGTGTGTGTGAGAGAGAGAGAGAGAGAGAGAGAGAGAGAGACTGGGGTGTGGTATGTGTGTATGGCATGTGTTTTTAAAATGATGTTTCTCTGAATATCTAAAAAGTACTGTCCATAGAAGCTAGTCTATCAACTGACCATGACCAATCTGACATTTGACCACGTAACAGGCTGCCCTTGGTCCTCGGTGTCAGTGTGGGACTGTAGTGGTCTAGTATCCTTCTAGGGCATCTGGGACCTCTGCTGGATTTAGTGACTGATAACAAATATTATGTTGAGGTTATGCTTCCTTTGTTACCTGGTAATTTTCCTACTTAGTATACCAAGCATTTAAATTTGATCAATCTCATATTTTGAGATGAAAGGATGGGATTATGCAGAAATGGCCAATGTCTTATTGACCTGTTTTTGTGGAAGCTGTCAGGCACTATATAAATTGTGTACAGTTAGCGTGCGTGTGTGTGTGTATACATATATATATTCTTACAAGAGTAAAAAGCACCCTCTCCCAGAAATCGTATGTCATCGGTATTTGAAGAGAGTTACTAAATAATTCATTGCTGCTGCTGCTGTTTTTGGTTTGTATGGGTTTTTGTTTTGTTTTTGTGTGATACATTGATTTAAAAAAAATGGAAAGGAGAAAAAAAAAAAAACCACGACTACTGTTTACAGACTGAAAAAATTACTGCTTTTTATACTACTGAGGTCCTAAGATTCTCCAAAGCAAACATTTGGTTAAATCATTTATTTGGTGTGGATAAAAAGTAGAGAAACTTTTAGTGTTTTCCACATAATGGAAAATGTACAGATGCTTTAGTTGTGTTGCCCATCGATTTTGTATATTTTCATAATTTTAATTGTTCAAAATTGCATTATATTTTCCAATCAACATGTTCAATCTGGATTTGTCTTTCATTGTAAATTGTAATATAAAAGAGGGGTTTCAGTGTTCATACAGGCTTGTCACTGAAACTTGATACTTATTTGATGTGGTTTATTAACATGGGAAGTTTGTACTCTTCAGAGTTGGGTTGAACATAGCAAATTTACCCAAGATGGGTTAATTTATATAAACACTTGAAGTTGCCATTTCCACCTTGTTCATTTTTGTGGGGATTCTCAGAAAGCCACAGTCTTCTAAATGGTGTAATTCATCTCAATCACCATCTCAATGGTGTAATTCATCTTTAATCTTTGTATTAAGCACTATAACTCCAACAAAATTTTAATGTTTGAGGATCTAAAATTTTTATGCCAGGACCAGTGTTGTGGCATAACAGTGGCATCCGTATGACCCCCAGTTTCAGTTCTAGCTGGCTCTGCTTCGGAACCAGCTTTCTCCTGACACATCTGGTGCACCCAGATGGAGTTTCTGGCTTGGCCATCTGCGGAGTGAACCAGCAGTTGGATCTTGATTTCTCCCTCACTGCCCCCCTACACACACTCTGCCCAACCCTCAAGTCTGTGAAACTCTGCCTTCCAAAAAATCAATACATTTAACCTGTCACTCTTAAAAAGAAAAAAAAAAAACCACAAACTTTTTTTTTTTGGCTACCAGTATTTTTGGCTTACAAGTAGTGCTTTGCACATTTATATTTGTTAACTCAGTATTGGTGTATGAAGCACCTACTCGGTGTGTGCCACCTTCCATTTTAGGGCTCTGTTGATACAGTGGAAAAGGAGCCCTGTATCCTGGTTACTAGCTGGCCGTGAAGTCGTGACAAGGCAATAAAAATCAGTTTCGTAATACACCGAGGTATGTGAAAATGTTTCTGGAGGGTCTCCACAGGTCCGGTCATGAGAGCCCCTCTTGGGGCTGTGACGGCTGATCTGACCAGGAGTCCATCTGTGGGCTGGGGGAAGGGTGGAAGGCTCCAAGGCAGGCAAGTGCTGCTGAGATGTTTTGTGACTGTGGCCAGGATATAGTGACAGGAGTGCCAGATAACAGGGCTTGAGAAGAAAGGGCCCTTGAGCTCCGAGGGAGGGAGACTGCATTCTCTCATGACAAGTTACTGCAAGATTTCAGGCCTGGCAGATGGTGACATGATTGATCCAGCAGTTTTTGAACCTACAAGCTGAGATACAAAACTGACATCATAGAAACTTATTTTAGCACATTAAGTCCCCTTTATATATACCTCTATTGATTTTTGTCTACTTTTTTCCAGGTAGCAATTTAAGTTCATCCCAGCATTATTTTTCCCCCCTTGGCAAAAGGTAGATACTTGGATCTCATAGCTGTGTTTAAGATTCATTCATTTGAAAAGCTGAGCTACAGCCTGGGTGGCTCCCCAAATGGCCCTCACAGCTGGCACTGGCCTGGGCAAAAGGCAAGCTCGGGAGCCATATCCAGGTCTCCTATATGGGCATGAGTACTTGTGTCCTTTCCTACTGCCTTCCAGGTGCATTAGCAGGGAGCTGGATTGAAACTGCAGCAACCGGGACTGGAACCAGTACTGACCTGGGATGCTTGTGTGTCACAAATACCAGCCTAACCCCACTGCAATGGCACTTTTTTTTTTTTTTCTGAGATCTCCCATCTGCTTTTGCATTGCCCCACAAGGTACTGGCAACTCAATCCGTGTGGGTTGCAAGAACCCTACTGCTTGGGGCACTGCCTCCCAGAGTCTGGATGTGTGTGTGTGCTAACCTTAGACTAAATGCCCACTGCCTCATTGCTAGTAAAACATTTCCCCAAAAGATGGTTTAGGTTGCTCACATCATTCACGGCTCTCGTGTTCCCTGGTGTTCAGGTGCTGCGCAGCCTGGGTTCAGCTAGGGATGTGTAGTAATGACTAGAAGACAAGCTACTATGAGCCAAAAGCTTCATGCACTTTATGGAGTTCCTATGGTAGTATTACGCTCAGGGAGCAGAGAACTCTTCTGCAACCTCCACATTCCATGTAGTCCAGGAAGCTGGGTCCCAGATAATGTGCCATTTTACATATGACAAAAGATGAAATTTCAACAGGTAAATCAGATTCAGCAGGGAGAAGCACCCGAGAAGACCATCCAAAGGTTGTAATTAGAACAAGGAGAAATACTGAAATCGCTACTTGTGGCGGATCATGCTGGCTGTGGGCGGGTAGATGTTTGGGTTGGAACATCTAACTGGTTGGTGTCAATGATCCAAAATGACTATTTTTGTTTAATGCAATTCAATACACGAGTGATTCTCCAGATTTTCTTCTCAGTGACTCTTATAAGAGTAATTTTGCTGAAACGGAGAAAATTAAGCAATTCAAGGTCTTATCTGCTAAATCCATATTTGTCATGTGTGAGATGTTGTGAGATCATTTCAGAAGTTGTGTCTGAGGCTACTTCCCAACATGCATGAGAGTTGGGCTGTTGGAAAAGATCTGGAAGGCAGCTCTCGCCACTCTGCTTTTAACAAACTGGTGTTTGTAATTGAAAGTGACTAGCCAAAGAACAGTCTTTTGTCTTTTTAACATCCAAATTGGACTGAATTACATCATGTCTGAAGATGGCTTACATGAGTCCAACTAGGAACTTGTGACATGTATCCTAGGACGTGGAAGGTCATTACGAGTGCTGTTGGCTCAATGTGGCTTTTTTTAAAAGATTTTTAAAATTTGTATTGGAAAGGCAGATATACAGAAAGGAGAGACAGAGAGGAAGATCTGTCCATTGATTCACTCCCCGAGTGGCCACAATAGCTGGAGCTGCACTGACTTGAAACCAGGAGCCCAGAGCTTCTGGGTCTCCCAGGCGGGAGCAGGGTCTCAACACTTTAGATCGTCTTCATCTGCTTTCCCAGTCCACAAGCAGTGAGCTAGATGGGAAGCAGGACTGACCGCCAAGATTAGAACCGGCACCCATATGGGATCCTGGCACGTGCAAGGTAAGGACTAGGCTAATGCGCCAGGCCCTGTGGCTATTGTGTTTTAAGGGACAGAGAATGAGCAGCACACATTTTATTCTCCACAGTGGACTAACGTGAGTGCACACTGGCAGAAGATAGCAAGGGCCCTCTGAAATCAGGACACTTTCCACAGTGTCGCCGGGACAGTTGGTAACCCTGGCTGAGTTTTGATATCACTTTGTATTGAAAAAGGAAGTTATGGACTAAACCATGTAATCTAAGAAAGAAAACAGAAGGGCTTCAGGTCCACTTAACCAAAACATGGAAATTTAATAAGATCAAAATTACACTTGTTGGGGACCTGGGCAGTACGCTCCTCCCTGTAGCATGGCTTCCTTCTGAGGGCACCTGATAGCCATCCCTGGAGTGGCCAGAGAGATGTCCTACATGTGGTCCCAGCAGCAGCAATGTTCAGACATACTTGGGGCTCAGATTTCTGGTTTAGTGCTACTTTTTCCACCATTGCACAGGGGTCGGTCTTCCCCACCGCACCCCGGAAGACCCTGGGGCACCTGTTACAGCTCTTCCTTCTCCGCACCCTTCTTTTGGAAGGCGGTCAGGATGTTCAAGCTTTTCTGCAGTGCCTCCTTCTTCCCGTCACTCATCTTGTTCTTCTCGATCAGCTTGGTGATTCGGGTCATCTCTGATGCTGGGAAGTCCTCGCCTTGGTCCAAGACCTTGCTCATGATCTTCAGGTACTGCTCAGCCGACTTCCTGTCAGTCTCCTTCACACTTGAGAGGTTGTCTTGCCCCTGCTTCAAGAGGGCCTGGCGGGCCTCCACACTGGAGGCTCTGATGAACTCCCCTGCCAGGGCGTCATAGGCAGGCAAGCAGCCAGGCATGCCAAGGTAAACCCCATGGCCCTTTAGCCAGCGCTGGATGGCTCCAACCTTGATGGCCCCAGTATAGGGGATGGGGTTCTCAAAGTCCCCATCCCGGAAAAGGTAGAAGATGGGGTAGTTTTCTTTGTCCAGCTTGTATTTCTCGCTCAGCTCCATGTTCAGCTTGTCACCATAATCTGTAAATACAAACCATCAGTAAGGAGCGAGACTGAGGGGACCGAGGGCCGCACATTGCTCTTGGACCTAGCTGAGCTGTGCACGGGTTTGAAGGGACAATCAAACAGGATTGGGTTTGAACTCCTACTCTTCCTCATGCTAGCCAGGTGATGTTAGTCAAGTCACTTAACCTCTCTGCCTTCTTTCATTTGAAAAATGGGCATCCTTTATGTCTACTGTAAGCCAGGTGCTGAAATGGAGCATCTTCTCCTACCTCAAGGGGTTTATCACTTAAGGGTTAAGAGAAGGAAAAACAAAGGAACAAAGTGGCTAATACCACGGTCAAAGTCAAGCAGGGTGAAGGGACAGTGTGGCTGAGTAAAGGAAGCCAATTTCATTTGGTTGAGGCTGCCTTCCCTGTGGAGGTGATGCAGCAGTTGAGGGACCCAAATGTCAAGGGACCAGCCACGCGAGGATCCAGGAAGTCTCGGAAGAAAGGACTGTAAGTGTAGAAACTTAACAGCAGGACTGAGCTTGTGTCTTGTATTTTTTTTTTTTTTAAGATTTCTAAGGCCAATCTGGCTGATGAGAAGGGTGCTAGGTAATAATGTCCTGACACAGCTGGCTGTTGGAGAGATCTACTGTGGGAACATCTGCAGGAGACCTGGCCGAGTGGACTGCTCGTATGTGGCGGCTGCAAGGTTTGTCCAAAAGGCAGAAGTGCCAGGGAAGAGGCTGTTGACCAGTTTCTGAAACTTTGCTGGGAGTAAGTGGCCAAGGCCGATTACTGCTGGGTGGGAGTGTTAGAATTTGCGGGTAACAACTAGTTCAGCCACTTGACAGTTCAATCAATGATCTTGGGGGAAACAGGAGATGTAACAGTACCATAGTACCTGACAGAGATGTCACAAGCATGAAATACACATTCCTGCACACAGTAAACAGCCGGAAATGCTACTAATCCAAAAGCCACAGGAGTTGATCCCAAACTGAGTCACAGTGAACCAGCTGACCTGAAGGGGTGCCAGCCATATCTACCCAGGCCTGGATCTAGTGAGCTCCCAGCTCACTGGGGAGAAGCATCCTCCTCACTGGGAAGCCGAGCTGGCTCAGACCCTGGGACTGTTAACACTTAGGTGCCATTTTGGACAAGCCACTCTACTCCTCGTGGCCTGAGGGAAGTCAGTAAAGCCCCATGAACTTCAGATTTTGAGTATAAAATAGCTACATCTGGCAAGGGTCTAGGGAAGACCAAACACATGCCTGTGCAGATGTCTGCCCAGCCTAGGTCATGACATGTTGCTGACTAGTATTCATCACTGTGACTGACAGCTGCCCTGCTCCTGGATTAGAGCTAGCATGAATGCCTCTCAGCTAAATCCAAACCCCTAAATGCTGACCAAAAAAGTACCTATACTGCCTACTTGGAGAAATGGCTTAAGGTATCCCAGAAGGAAAACTCCAGCTTCTCACAGTGAGCTTAATCTCAGACAGGGGCAGAGGGTGTAAGAGGGGCTCTCTTCCCTGCTGCCACCTGCCAGGCTGAGCCAAGGTTTCCAGGTTCCAGAATCTGCTTTGGCAGGCTGGCCTTCGATGTCAGATGCTGTGGGAGACTGAAATCCACTGCCTAGCCAGACGGAGAAGTTGTGGGTATTACCACTTCAAGCACAGAAACAGCTTCTGTCCTTTACCCCCACTGTCCTTCCCAGTCACTTGGGACTTGTCCATACCTGAGATGCCCACCTCTGCCACCAAGAGATCTTCGCTGGAGGCCGAATTTTCAGCTAGACGCTTGAACTCATCCTGCTTCTCGCCGTAGGGGTACTGGGTGTCGAACTTGACCAAGACGAACTTGCTTTTGGGAATGACCTGAGGGTGTACAGAGCTGAGCAAGAGGGGTGTTCCACTGACCTGTGAGGCTACTTCCCCTTCCCATGGAGCCCCAGTTTAAGAAATGGAGTGGAAAAAAGCCCACAAGGGAAACGAGCTCTCACAAACTAAAATGCAATCATTCATCTGGGTTCATGCAGGCATTTAGTGAGCACCTGCTTTGTGTTGGGTGTCTAACACTGGCTCTGTCTAGAATAAACAAAGCTACAGCTGAATTAAGACTGTGCCCATCAGTGAGGCTGAGGAGCCCCACAACATGCTCGACTACAACCTCCCCAGTCATGCCCGCATTCACGGGCAGCCTTCTCAGTAAACCATGAACCAGAAATCTGACAAAACTGCCGATAAAACAGTTGGCATCATGGAAGACACATAGCTAGAGACCAGAATTGAACTCAGCAATTTCTGGGGGAATATAAGTTGGTGCTAGGCCAAGCCTGGGACAGCGTCCTCTCCCTACATGGTCTCAGTTGGCCTCTAGACCTCTAGGTCCTAAACTGTAGGAGCCAGGACATGAAGTTTAGGATAATTCACATAAAGCTGAGCAACCATTCCTTTTGATTCCAGAACACTAAGCACCCTGGAAGGAAGCTCTGAACTGCCACTGAGCAGACTCTCCAGCGCTCCTCTGCTGAGCTGCAGCAACCACTAATCTAACATGTTTTTCGTTTTTCTGTTCTGATGGAATCATAAAAGATGTGGTCTTCTGTCTGGCTTCTTTCCCTTAGCAATGCTCTCTGGGCTCATCTATGTCGTAGCTCAGGTCGGTCTTCATTTCCAGGGTGGGTGTCTGGCATTTGCTAAGACGCCACCAGAGCACCTGTGTCCGAGTCCTGGCTCTGCTTGTGATGCCAGCTTCCTGCCAATTCACACCCTGGGTGACAGCTCAAATACCTGAGTTCCTAGGACCTGACTTTGGCCTTTAGCTCAGGGTCACTGTGGGCATTTGGGGAGTGAACTAGTAGATGAAACTCCTTCTCCCTGCCTTTCTAAATCTTGTCTAAATTTGTCCCCAGTGCATAAATCTCATTTAACAAGCTATTGGAAAACTTCTTTCCATGCCCCTGCAACTCTGGGTTTGGTCCATGTGGGCACTACTTCCACTTTTTGCATCACAGACATAAATGTCAACTGTGAGGTTATGCAGCCATAATTCCAGACAAAAGCACAGGAACCTCGTGTTGTTAGTCCCTGTCCCATACTATGTTTTGGTATCCAGTTGGCTCAAGGCTTTAAAAAAATTTAATCCTACCTCGAGACACAAAGGAAGAGATGCTGGCAGAACACATCATCTTTAAATGGTCACTGATGCCAAAACTGCCTGAGCTCTGGGGACCTCAATGCAAGGGAGATTTCAAATATGAATTAGAGCACATCCCTCCGGCCCTGCTGGCCTTATTTTGCTGCCACACACAACTCAGTGTGTTCCAACTGCAGGCCTTCTCAACTTGCTCTCTGCTGGCTGGAATGCTCACTTGTGATTCTTACAGACTCTCTCTGTCCAAGGTTCAAGTCCAACGTAATCAGACCATCTAAGACACCTTCATGCTCAAAACCAAATCCTATCATCTCACCCTGACAGATTTTCTGCACTCCTTTAATCATTCTTTAATTTCTTTATTTGCTTGTTGGCTGCCCTCTGAACATCAGCATGTGCATCTGAGTTAAGAACCTGGCTCAAAGTACTTCCTGCTGTACCCTTGCCACCCCGCAATGCCTGCTATGTGGCAAATGCTTAAGCTGTGGGAGTGGATGCCACATGTTGGGGTAGGGGAGAGGGAACAGGGCAGAATCGTTTAAAAAATAGAGGACTCCCACCTTCAAGGGACTTATTATACCTGTACCATGGGATAATACTAGTAATTCTAGACTGATTTAACAATAACATAGAACTGAAAGCCTGCCCATCTTTTACTGTCACTCATAATTACGAGGGCGTACCTGAAGCGTTCTGAATGGTAAACACCTGCAGAAGAAATTTTCTGTTATTCTACTCAAGTTCTGCATTTAAATGTTTTAGTGACTGCACTCCTTTCCTTGGCCTTGGAGCAGCAGCTACCATTACCTATGGTTAGGTAACTTGTTTTTTTCAAAGCATAGGTGCATTCATTATCCAATTGATTAAAATTGTTTTTTCCTGAAAGGCAGGGTGACAGAAATCTTCCATCTACCAGTTCACTCCCCAAATGGCCACAACAGCCAGGACTGAGCCATGCAGAAGCCAGGAACCTAGAACTGCAACCAGATCTCCCACTCAAGCCCTGAGCCATCATCTGCTTCCCAAGGTGCATTTCCAGCCAGATGGACCGTTAAGAGGAATCGCCAGGACTCAAACTGGCATTCCAATATGTGATATGGACCTGGACCCAACATCTAGTGATGGTGAAGGGTAAGAAACAGAGAGGGGTCAGCAGTGTGGTGTGGGTCAGGCTGCACATTCCACATGGGAGTTCCGGCTGCTGTTTTTGATCCAGCTTCCTGCTAATACACCTGGGGACACAGCACGAGATGGTCCAAGTACTTGGGTCATTGCTACCCATGCAGGAGCCGAGGATGGGCCAGCCATTTGGGAAGTGAACCAGCAGATGGAAGATCCATTTGTTCCTCTTTCAATTATATAAATCTTAAGAAAATAAGCAAAAACAAACAAACAAAAATGTTAAAAGGCACATAAAGGCAAGGCATGGGAACTAGGCTGCTGGACCAAAAAAAAAAAAAAGGGAAATGCAATATTTAGTGGCAAAGAAATAGTGAGCTCTGGAAAGGGACTGAAGGATACCTGTGATCATCCATGCAACACGTAATTGAGCAATTTCTGTGTAACAGCTACCTGCTATGCTTTGCAGATGATCAAGACCAAAACAGACACAGAATTTGTTTGACAAGTGATATGTTTGTATGGGAGACAGATGGTTAAAACTGGTCAGAAGAAAAGTGATGAATGTTCAACAGAAAAATAAAACAAAGGTAATGTAACCAACACTTTAGACTGGGGAGTTGGGAAGATTCAAAGAAGGGCTCTGACAGGTAACACTGAATTTAAGTTTGAATGAGAAATAGCCTGCCTTTCTCCAAAAATGGGCAAAGAATGTTCTGGTCAAAAAGACTGGTTTGTTGCAAATGTAACCAGACAATAACCAGCTTGGAACACCCAAAGGACCCAATGATGGCCTGTCTGGCTGCCAACACAGAGCAGGGGGGATGAGGGAGAGAAAAGTAGGGGGAGACAGATGAGTGAAGTGAAAGGCAGTCCATGGAAGATGCAGGCTGTAGAATGGAAGCAGTGAGATCCCTGAGGATGCTACCAGCAGGCGTCGGTGGCACAGAGAGGCCACAAACAACTGATTAGGGAATACAGGAGGCCCTGCAAACCCCAGGGATCACCAACACTGTGCGGTACTAAATCCATACCAACTTTCTCTTTTGCAATTACTAAAGGCCTTGAGTGTCTGTAGGTAATGGTATCTGCAGGGGGGTCCTGGAACCGATCTACTGTGAGCACAAAAGCATCCCACATGGTGCAAAGTCTTCTTTTGAGTCACACCTGCTCTGTGATGGGATCTGCCTCTATAGTGGAGTCAGATGGGAGATGGAGGTGTCACTTCCAAAAAAAAAAAAAACAAAAAAAAACAGGGGGAGTCAGTACAGTAGCCTAGTGGTTAAAGTTCTCACCTTACACAAGCTGGGATCCCATATAGGTGCCGGTTCTAATCCCAGTGGCCCCACTTCCCATCCAACTCCCTGCTTGCTGCCCGAGAAAGCAGCTGAAGACAGCCAAGAGCTTTGGGACCTTGTGCCCTCGTGGGAGTATAGGAGACCGAGAGAAAGCTCCTAGCTCCTGGCTTCTAATCCGCTCAGCTTCAGCCATTGCAGCTGCTTAGGGAGTGAATTATCGGATGGAGGACCTTCCTCTGTCTCTCCTTCTCTCTGTATATCTGACTTTCCAATAAAAATAAATAATAAGTCTAAAAAAAAGGGGGGGACTGCAAAACACAGAGTACAAAAAGCGTCCGAGAACCAACCAGCCACTCCCACGCTTCCAAACACTTGAAACAGAGCCTTGAATACGCTACGCCCAACGCCAAGCCCACTACAGGCAAGTTCCACCACGTGAAACAGATTCAGAGTTGCAGCTCTCGGTTTCACTTCCCTCACTGGGCACAAAAACGAGAAAGGACGACTGGCCCTCTCTCTACACTTGGATGGTCTATGTCCTGGCAGTTAGTCAATAAGGAGTGCAGATAGGTACCAAAGGAGTGGGGCTGGGGCCGCGCGATCGCATGCAGTAGTCAACCCCTCCAAGACTCTCCCTCACCCAGGCCAGGGTCCTACCCACGTTCACGAATGGTGAAGTGGGGGGGGGGGGGAGAAAGAAGGAGTGGCATTTTGTTCTCAGGCCCAAGATGTTCGTGACAGGTGGGCTGCACATTTGCTCTTTACAAGCAGACGCAGCAGCACCTTGCACGTAGCTAACGGCCAGGATCTCGCACCGCCCAGCGGACATCTCGCCTGGCGCCGCCCCTTGCCCTGAGATAAGGCAAGGACCCTCCAGGTCCCTGCCTCTTGGCAGCTCTTTCGCTACATCCCCGTTCCAGAGTCCACGAGGCCCATAGGACGGTGGGAAGCCTCGGGATCGCTCCTACCAGCCCATCTTCTACCAGCCCTCGGTGCTTCACGCCCGAAGAGAGACGCGCCAGACTCACCCCCCCATCCCCGTTACCTTATAGAAAGTGACAGTATCCAATGGAAGGGCTCCCTTGGTGTGCAGGCCGCTGCCGCCATGCGGAGCGGAGAGCAACAGGAGGCCCAAGAGAAGGGGAAGCAGTGGGGAGAGAGAAGCGGCACGGGGAACGGAGGCAGCCATGACGCCTGATGGTGAGAGCGACAGAGGGATCAAGCGGTAGCCGGGAACGCCGGGCGTCAGGCGTCACGTGACCGCCAAGACGCGCTGTTGCGCACGCGCGTGTGAAGGCCCCGGAGAGGCTCACGCCAAACTAGGTTGAAAGGGCGGGGCCGCGTATAGGGCGGGGAAAATGGGGATTCCGCGCAGGCGCGCTCAGCGGAACCGCGGGACGCACGCCGGGCCACGTGAGGCAGGGCGGGGCTGGGGAGGAGCGCCACTGGCTGCTGCTGCGCACGCGCACTGAGGGAGGCGCGCCGCGCGCCCGCTCCGTAGGCGCCGTCGTGCGCGTGAAGAGAGGTGCGAGGCAAGCGCGTGACGGCGTCGCAGCAGCAATTTTCTTGTTGTGTTTTCACACTTTTGAACATGCCAGGGCCACCTCTCCTGCCTCCCTGCGTTTCCGTCCGTCAGTTTGTCGGACAGTCAAGTCCAGCGGCCCTCAGTCTGCCTGTGCTGCTTCCCTCAGACTGCTGGACTCGCAGCTCCCGGGCCCAGTCAGGCCTCCCGGGAGTTGAACGCCTCATGTGGGGAGCTCCACGGGCTTGGGCCGAGCTGTGGCCAAGGCTCCCGAAAGGCCAAAGTATAATATAGGTTGGTATCATTGTGTGCTCAAGGGATTCTTTCCATCGGTGGTTTGTGCCAGAGCCCCTTTCCCCCCACCCCCGGTGCAACTGTGGAGATAAGGAACAAGACAGGGTTCTCTCACGGGAAAGGCACAGAGGGGAGCGGAAAGGCCAAAGAATGGGATATTTCTAACCAGGGAGTATTTCCTATTTCCAGTATAGGCAGGAATGGTGGGACCATGATTGAAATGAAGCGGAATTTCTATGGGATCTCCCCACGTGAGAGGGTTTGAAACCACCAGAGTAAGGATGAAATTGAGAAACTTAAGTAGGAAAGAATTTACAAATTGGATCAAATAGGTTTGAGTGTAAGAAAAACAGTTATATTAACCACTGTGTGTAATAATTATTTTTTTCTGTGTGTGTGTATGAGGATACTTTTAAAATTTTATGGAAAATTTAATTAAAAGATGTTTTATTTTGGTGCAAAAACCTGACATTCACGTACAGCTTTTTCATAATACACATTTTGAAATTCCTGTCATGATTGGATGTCAAAAAATCTTTTTGCAAGGGATCATTGCTGTAGGGCCCAAGCAAAATGCTTCCACTGATTTTCTAGGCTCATTAAAATGAGGCTGGATCAGAAATAGAGCAGAGGGAATTAAAATGGTCTCCCATGTGGGATGCTGGTGTAGCAGGCTTAATTTGCTACAGTGCTGAAACTCACTGATAAGCCTTGATTTCCTCTTTTTTTTTTTAAAAAAAAAAAGATTAATTTTATTTTTATTGCAAAGTCAGACATACACAGAGGAGGAGAGAGAGAAAGATCTTCTGTCTGATGATTCACTCCCCAAGTGACCAAGAAGACCTGTGCTGATCTGAAGCCAGGAGCCAGGAGCCTCTTCTGGGTCTCCCACGCGGGTGCAGGGTCCCAAGGCTTTGGGCCCTCCTCGACTGCTTTCCCAGGCCACAGGCAGGGAGCTGGATGGGAAGCGGAGCTGCCAGGATTAGAACTGGCACCCATATTTGTTAATTTTTATTGATATAAAATAAATGTACATTAAATTAAAATGTACATTAAATAATAAAATGCACATTAAATAAAAGCTGGGTTGTATTTGAACATAGTAAGGAGCTTTTTACTTAAAAGGGGAGCTTTTTACTTAAAAGGGGGGAAAAGCCCTAAAAAAATCTCACCGAGGGCTCAGCACAATGGCCTAGTGACTAAAGTCCTCGCCTTGAATGTGTCAGGATCCCATATGGACACCAGTTCTAATGCCTGTGGCTCCGCTTTCTATCCAGCTTCCTACCTGTGGCCTGGGAAAGCAGTTGAGGATGGCCCAAAGCGTTAGGACCCTGCACCTGTGTGGGAGACCTGGAAGAAGTTCCTGGCTCCTGATCGAAACAGCTCCAGCCATTGTGGTCACTTGACGGGTGAATCATCAAACGGAAAATCTTCCTCTCTGTCTCCCCTCCTCTGCATATCTGACTTTGCAATAAATAATAATAATAAATAAGAAAAATCTTCCAAAAAATCTCACCTATACCATTGTTTAACCTTAAGTTGACCTTTGCAGGAAAGGAAGATGGCAAAATTAGTTTCCCAATATCCTCCAAATGACAAGAGAGCCAAATTTACAGAAGACAGGGAATGAATTTAGAAAAGCTGATAAGTAAGTCCTCAAATGTTGGTAGGTGGCATAAACATTTTGGCAGAAATGCTGAAGAGAAAGCTTTCCAAGGGTAGCTATCAGGCGCAGTGACTGACTTAGCTCTTCTCCAAACAAACAGGTTTGTTCTTGACTGAAAGTTCTTTGTCCAGAAGCACTTTCTTATCACTCGATGAAACTGTTAGTCACCTTACCTTCTGAGATAGCTGTGAGTAGAAGCTTCAGAACTCTCCAAGACCTTATGCTGACCTAAAACTTCCCTGGCATTTTGTTTATCTAATGACGTAAGCAAAGTTATAAAATTTACTCTAAACAGTTTCTGGCTTCCCTCTCTATAATCTTGATACAAATAGATGAGTCATATATTTAGGTTATTTCAGCCATACAAATGATCTAATTTAGAAGAGGTTTTTGTAGACTGTGACTTGAAAAAAGATACAAGATAAGTGGTTACATAAATGAATTTTCTTCATTTTGTTTTCTCTTTCCTTCAGTCTTTCTCTAATTTTTCTGGTCCTCGCAAACCCTGTTCCAGTGCTTCTTTTGTATACAGTTTCTGTATGCAGGGCATTTGAGTTGCTGCTGTTCAAGCCATTTTTTTCTTGCCATATTATTATAACCTCTTGTAAGACTGTGTCAATATCTTATTTATCTTTTTATCTTCCATAACTTATGCATTAAGCTAAGTTTTAAATATAGGTATATCAAATAAATAATGTAATTTGTTTAAAGATTTATTTATTTTTATTGCAAAGTCAGATGTACAGAAAGGAAGAGAGACAGAGAGAAAGATCTTCCATCCAGTAATTCACTCCTCAAGCAGCCACAACGGCTGGAGCTGCACCGATACGAAGCTAGGATCCCACAGCCTCTTCTGGGTGTCCCACACAAGTGCAGGGTCCTAAGGCTTTGGGCCATTTTCAACTGCTTTCCCAGGCCACAAGCAGGGACCTGGATGGGAAGTGGAGCAGTCAGAACAAGAACCAGCACAATATGAAATCCTGGCACATGCAAGACAAGGACTTTAGCTGCTTAGCTACCACACCCAGGCCCAATAATGTAATTTATTAATGTAATTATATTCTGTGGGAATTTTGGTGGTTCAGAATATTTAAGGAGTGTTAGTATTAAATGTAGCAAACATAGCCTCAGGTTTTTATTGGCATCACTAAGACATTGTTGATTGAGCGAATGAAGAAATGAATTTTGCATCACAAGCTTCTCTCTCTATGGACACATATTTAGTAGACCTCCTTTTTTTTTCTTAAGATTTACTTATAATCATTGGAAAGGCTGATTTATACAGAGAGGAGAGACAGAGAACCCTGTCCTGGTTCACTCCCAAAATGATTGCAATGGCCGGACTGAGCCAATCCAAAGCCAGGAGCCAGGAGCTTCCTCTGGATCTTCCATCTGGGTGCAGGGTCTCAAGTCTTTGGGCCCTCATCTACTGTTTTCCCAGGCCATAAGCAAGGAACTGGATGAGATGTGGAGCAGCCGGTACACGAACCAGCAGCTATATGGGATGCCTGTGCTTTGAGGTGGAGAATAAGCCAATTGAGCCAACGCACCAGGCCTTAAGAGACCTTCCTTCTATCCTGTTTTGCTTCCCTCCCCTTTTTTTTTTCCTGTTCTTTTCCTCCTTGCAGGTTTGTTTATTTTTTTCAAATGACTTATTAACTCAGCCTTTTATTACTTTTGCCTCTCGAACCTTCTCTTCTCGCTGTTCCCAAAGCTTACAACTTTGTTTCCTTGTCACCTGCTCTATTTCTATTTCTTTGTTTGCTTGGCTTTCTCCTGCACTTGTCACCACTTCTCTCCTTGCCCTCAAGGTACAGAGGTAGGGAGGAGCCCAGCTGGCCTAGGGGTGGAGCCACCTGCTCACTGCTCAGAGCTCCTTCATATCCTGAGAGTGAGTGAGAAGGAACGGAAGCGTCGGGGTGGTTGGGACTACAATCCCAATGGGCTTCCCTCCGTGGGCTCACCTCATGGAGGACAGCTGGGATTTGGTAAGGTCGGAAGCTGGGCCTCTCTTCAGTGTGGCTCCCACTATCTTCTTCTCTGTCCTGTGTTTGTTTTCGTCACAATGTCTCTCTCCAAACCTCTGAGTTTTCTTCCCTGTTGCTATCACTTCCAGTTTACGTCTGTCTAACTCTGTCAGTCAACTTCATTTAGTATTTCTGTGCCTCTCGTTATCTTTTCTTTACATCTGTTTATTCACTCTCAAAATTTCAACTTTTACCTTTTGCATTTTGTTCTTCCTCTTACTTTTTTCACATTCGTTTTTCTTTTTTCATTCAGTCACTTTCTGTCTATGCCTTTAAATGAGGGAAAAAAACCCAGGAGTCACCTTGATTTCACAGGAGTCTTTTCACTCATTCTCAGACTTGGTAATGTTTTAATTGGGCCTTGGAGACGATTTTGTGCTGCAGTGAGAGTTAATAAATAGTGAAATTAGAGTGGATTGAATATTACATGTAAAAGGCTTCATCACTCTCTCTGTTTCACTTAGGTTTTTTCTGCAATACAATGGATACAGTTTGTCATGGCTACTCTGAGGTATGTTTATTTGATCTCTAATATTTCTGTTTAAACTTGTATAGGAAAAACTGAGAATTCTGTAGTTTTCTACAGTCTTCCCTTGGGTATTTGCTTTTGTTCTTCAAATTACAGAGACGTATTATTAAGCCTGTTGATATTTTCTAAGAAAATGTTAGCAGTAATAATAACAGAAAAAAACCAGATTGAAGAATGACATGTGAAATCAGCAGATGACCTGGTTACAGGATTGATTGCAAAATCAGTGGCAGAGTGCTTACCTTGGCAGCACATCGAGTGAAAATTGGAATGATACAAAGAAGATTGATATAGTCCCTCCACAGAATTATGTGACAATTTGTGAAGCATTCATCTTTTTTAATGGTTAATTATTTATTTACGTTTATTAGAAAGAGGGAGAGAGACGAATTTTCATCTGGTGTTTTACTCTCTAAATGCCGAAAATAGTCAAGGCTGAGCCAGGCTGAAAGGAGGAGTCCAGAATTCAGTCCAGAGCTCCCCTGTGGGTGGAAGAAGCCCAAACACCTGAACTATCACCCGGAATCCTTAGCAGGAGACTGGATCAGAAATGGAGTAGCCAGGACTTAAGCTGGCATAGCAATACAGGATGTGAGAATCTTAAGTGGCTTTTTAATCCTCCGTGCCACAATGCTTATGTCTCCATAATTTTTTAAACTTCTCTTTATTTTGCATCAGCTGTCAATAAAACAAAAATCTTGGGGTCGGCACTATGGTCTGGTAGTGCAGGTTAATCCTCTGCCTGTGGCACCAGGATCTCATATGAGTGCTAGTTCAATTCCTGGCTACTCCACTTCTGATCCAGCTTCCTGCTAATGGTTTGGAAAAGCAGTGGAGAATGGCTCAGATCCTTGAGCCCCTGACCCATGTGGGAGACCTGCAAGAAGCTCCTGTCTCATGGCTTCAGATCGGCCTGGCTCCGATTGTTGGCCATTTAGGGAATGAATCAGTGGATGGAAGATCTCTGTCTTCTTTCTCTGTAACTCTGCCATTTAAATAAAAATAAATAAATCTTAAGCAAAACAAAAACCGAAAAACTAGAAAAAAATGAAACAACCTCATTTTCCTGTTTTAATGACCATCTTCTGTTTCTTGCAGTGTTATAGGATCAAGTTCACTTATTGCCTATTCTGTATTCCAGAATATACAGAAATCTCCAGAGGTGAGCAATCACTCTTTTATGTTGGAGTTGAACTTTTAGTGACTTAGCCTTTGAAATAAATAACAGTGGAATGATGGAATAATGATATGAATTACTTACAAATTTGTTATTTAAATATTAAATAGACTGAGATATCTTAGGCACTATCAATAGGACTCCATTATTTTAATGATAGCCTTGAATTCTGAGAGATTACTAAATGCAGATTTTTTTGTTATGCATTAGTTATTAAGATTAAGGAAGCAGTATTTTCTGAAGTCTATAGGTGATATTTTATTTTATTTTGTTTGCATTGTATAGAGAAAAGGAGATGGAGACAGAGAGATTGTCCATATACTGGTTCATTCCCCAAATGACTGCAGTGCATAGGCTGGTTCAGGCTATAGGCAGGAACCCAGAATTCTACCCAGGTCTCCTTTATGGGTGCAGAGTATCCAGGACTTACCTGTCTTCCACTGCTTTCCCAACCTCATTGGCGGGGGGCTAGATTAGAAGTGGAGGAGCTGGAATTCCAGGAGCTGGCACTCCTGAGATCCCAGCAGGGTTTTTGATTTCAATATATTAGGAAAGTTGCTGAAGAGGCTAGGAGATAGTTGAAAGACTTTGTTATATAAAAGGTAATTAATTATTCTGCTACACATCCTTCTAGACAATTACAATTTAATAATTAAAAAAAAAACCCACCTTACAGTTTTTGTAAAACAGTTTATATCAAAAAGATCACTTTAAGGGGATCCATGTCGTAACGCATCAGGTTAAGTTGTTGCCTACGGTGCCAGCATTCCTATATGGACACTTGTTCAAGTCCTGGTTGATTCATTTCAGATCTAGTTCCCTGGTAATATGAATGGATAGCCCCAGAGGATAGTCTGAGTGCTTGGCCGTTATTTATTTAATAACTAGGTAAAACATGGTTTAGGCCATGTATGATAGATAGTGGCCACAACAGACGGTGCTGAGCTGATCCAAGGCTAGGAGCCAGAGCAGATGCAGGGACCCAAGGCCCTCCATGACCATCTTCCACTGCCCTCCCTGGCCACAAACAGGGAGCTGGATGGGAAGTGGATCCCATATGGAATCCTGATGCATGCAAGGAGAGGACTTTAGCCACTGGGCTATTGTCCTGGACCCAGTCCACTTCATTCTTTTTTTTAAAAAAGATTTATTTATTTATTGGAAAGTCAGATATTCAGAGAGGAGGAGAGACAGAGAGGAAGATCTTCCATATGATGATTCACTGCCCAAGTGAATGCAACGGCCAGCGCTGTGCCAATCTGAAGCCAGGAGCCAGGGACTTCTTCCAGGTATCTCACACGGGTACAGGGTCCCAAAGCTTTGGGCCATCCTCAACTGCTTTCCCAGGCCACAAGCAGGGAGCTGAATGGGAAGTGGAGCTGCCGGGATTCGAACCGGCGCCCATATGGGATCCTGGCGCATTCAAGGTGAGGACTTTAGCCACTAGGCCACGCTGCTGGGCCCAATCCACTTAATTCTTAAAGCAGCTCTGAGTTGGTTGTGTCTGACATTTTAGACAAGGACATGAAATGCTAGCAAAGTTGAAGAATTTTTCCCAAGCCTTACAGCTTATATGTGTTGGAGCTGAAATTTGAGAGCAGACTGTCCTCGTTTTACTTTCTTTATTTTTTTTAAGATTTTAAATTTAAATTTTAATCTTGAATTTTATAATAACAGTAAAGAACATAACTTTTTACAAAGTAGAAGTTATGATACTCTGTTGTTGCTTACCCAAGTAATTTAGTGCCAAACATCTTCCTGTGGTTGAGATTTCCCCAGTGTCTATTTTCCCTATTGAAATATGAGTCCAGATATGATTAAGCTAATAAAGCATGACTTACACAATGGAGACACCTAAGCCCCTATGCTGTATGTGCCTTTTGGACTAAATAATTATTTGTTGTCAGGGGCAGTCCTGCACATCAAAATGTTTAGCAGTGTTTACCCATAAGATGCTCGTGGCCAGCTTTCCTCTCCTCAGTTGTAGCAACCAAAAAAATCTTTGATAGATTGACAGGTGTCCCTGGGGCAGCGTAGTAGTGAAAAGTCACTCTTAGCTGAGGGCTGCGTTGCTCAGACACGACCTTCTGGCATGAGGGCAGGTTAGGGCTGCATGTACGATGGAGAATCTCCTTCAGCTCAGGCTGTGCTCATTTCTCTAGTTCTGTTCTCAGGCCTTCCATGTTACTGCAGCCTGAAATTTCTTAGCAATGACTTAGTTACATGCATTCTTCTTTTTTTTAATTTTTTTAATCTATGAAAACTTTTGATTATTTTTTTAGATTAAAAATTTCAGCAGCTCTCCAGTGTCTTCCTCTGTTTTTTGACTGAAGAACATTTTTTAACAGCAAAGGCACTTGTAAGATTTTATTTGAAAAAAAAAATACTCTATTACATTAAAAGTAACTAGTAAATCAGAGACACCTTGTTTCTATTTTTTTAAGATTTACTTTGTCTTTATTTGAACGAATTAGAGAGAGAAAGAGAGAGAGAGAGACGGAGAGACAGAGAAGAGATGTTCCATCTACTGTTTTACTCCTTAAATAGCCACAGTGGCCAGAGATGGGCCAGTCTGAAGTCAGGAGCCTGGAGCTTCATCCTGGTCTCCCTGGGTGGGAGGACATGGGCCGTCCGTCCTCTGCTGCTTTCCCATGCCGTTAGCAGAGAGCTTATTGGAACCGAAGATGCTACTGTACCATGGTGCCGACCTCCATATGGTTATTTCTTGAATAACTAAACAGGATTATAATATCTATATCATGACTGATTAATTTTCATTTTCGGTTTCAGTTTTATATCTGTTTAAGTTAGTAATGTGGAGTATGGGCCTGGCACAATTGCCTAGTGGCTAAAGTCCTCACCTTGCACTCATTGGGATCCCATATGGACACTGGTTCTAATTCTGGCGCCCCTGGTTTCTATCCAGCTCCCTGCTTGTGACCTAGAAAAGCAGTTGAGAATGGCCCAATACCTTGGGACCCTGCACCCATATGGGAGACCTGGATGAAGCTCCTGGCTCCTGACTTCATGTTGGCTGAGCTCTAGCCGTTTCAGCCACTTGAGGAGTGCATTAGCAGATGGAAGATCTTCCTCTCTGTCTCTCCTCCTCTCTGTATATCTGACTTTCCAATAAAAATAAATAGATCTTAAAAAAAAAGAAATGTAAAGTATGTCATAGACAGTAGAATTTAAATGTACCATGTAGAATTTTAGCAGGCTTACTAAGAGCAGAGGCCATCTGTGATTAAAATATATTATGAAATACTTTATACTTAAAGTAATATCTATGAAATATTTCATGCTTAAAATGTATGTTCTATACATTATTTCACTTGTTTATGTCAGCCAAGGAAACTTGACCATCCAGGTCTATTAGCATCTTAAATTTCTCTTCATTCCAAAGGAAGATATGATAGCAATTATCGTTTGTATAGCTGATGGGATTAGTCTTCTATTAAGAGGTATCTGATGAGGATTTTAACTTTTTAATATTTTAATTATGATATGAACAAAATGTATGAAACATGTATGTACTGGCTAAAAAATAACTGTACAGTGGAGCCTGGAGAAATCAGAAGATAGCCCGGGTGTTGCGGTCCCTGCTGCTCTAGTACGAGATCCAGATGACGCGCCTGGCTCCTCACCCTGGCCTAGTGTTGATGATTGTGGGTATTTAGGGAGTGAACCAGCAAATGCAAGATCTTGTTTTTTCTCTTTACCTCGTTCAGAGTAACTCTTTCAAAATAATATCTTTCAGAATAAGTATAAATCTTTTTTTAAGTTCATGGAAAATGAAATTAAAATATCTTTTAAAAAAGATTTTATTTTTTTATTGGAAAGTCAGATATACAGAGAGGGAAATTTAGAGAGGAAGATCTTCCATTTGCTGATTCACTCCCCAAGTGGCCACAACGGCTGGAGCTGCGCCAATCCAAAGCCAGGAACTTCTGCCAGGTCTCCCACACAGGTGTAGGATCCCAAGGTTTTGGGCTGTTCTCAACTGCTTTCCCAGGTCACAGGCAGGGAGCTGGATGGAAACTAGGGCTGCCGGGATTAGAACCGGCATCCAAATGGGATCCTAGCACGTTCAAGGCGAGGACTTTAGTAGCTACGCTATCATGCCAGGCCCTCCAATTTAATATATTAAAAACTTGGGCCCAGCGCGGTGGCGCAAGTGGTTAAGGTCCTCGCCTTGCACGCCCGGGATCCCATATGGACCCTGCACCCGCGTGGGAGACCCAGAAGAGCTGCTGGCTCCTGGCTTCGAGCATCGGCCGTTGCGCTCACTTGGGGAGTGAATCATCGGACGGAAGATCTTCCTCTCTGTCTCTCTTCTCTGTATATCCGCCTTTCCAATGAAAAAATAATAAAAATAAAATCTTTAAAAAATAATAATTTTAAAACTTTATAGTTTTGGGGACTGGCAGTATCTCATATGGGCATCAGTTTGTGTCCTTGGAGCTCCACTTCGATTCCTTGATAATACACCTGGGAAAAGCAGTGGAAGATGGCAGAAGTCTTTAGGTGCCTGAATCCACACAGGTGACCCAGAGGAAGCTCCTGGTACCTGGTTTTTGTCTGGGCATTCCGGCCGTCTCAGGAGTGAACCAGCAGGTGAAAGATATTCACACCCCTCCATCCAGGTAACGCTGCTTTCTAGTTAATTAATTAACTCTAAAAAACTTTATAGATTTTGCCTATCCCAGTGTCGCCTGCCCCCAGCTTTCTTGTGAACTGGCAGGTGTTATGGTCCATCCCAGCCTGGCCTGCACTTCATCCTGGGTCTTGCTTGTGCCTGTGTGCTGTGGACTGACCCAGCCCAGCCCACCTGCAGACTTGGCTCACATATATACCAACAGGTGCTGCGGCCCATCCTGGTGTGTCTTGCCCCCAGCCCCATCTCTTATTCTCACCAGTGAAAGCTGCAGCCTAGCATGGGAGTTCCACAAGTCTATTATAATTATTTTTTATTATTTTTAAGGTTTGCTTCAAAGTCACAGTTACACAGAGTGGATAGATAGTGGAGAGAGTGAGAGATCTGTTGTCCATTCGTTCATTCCCAAAATGGCCACAAGGTGCCCATATGGGATCATTTAGAGAGAAAAGGAGAGAGGGGGAGGGGTCTTTCATCTATTACTTTCCAAATGGCTGCAATGACTGGGGCTGGGCTGGTTCAAAGCCAGGAGCCAGGAGCTTCTTCTGGTCTCTTCTCTAGTGGCCTAAGACTTGGGCCATCCTCTGCTATTTTTCCAGGCAGATGAACAGTGAGCTGAACAGGAAATGGAGCAGCAAGGACTATGGCATGCCAGTGCTGTAGACAGTGGCTTAACCCATGATGCCACAGCACCAGATCCCCCAAAAATGCATTCAAAATTGTTTATTTTTAGGGCCCGGCGCGGTGGCGCAAGTGGTTAAGGTCCTCGCCTAGCACGCCCGGGATCCCATATGGGCGCCAGTTCTAATCCCGGCAGCCCCGCTTCCCTTCCAGCTCCCTGCCTGTGGCCCGGGAAAGCAGTCGAGGACGGCCCAAGGCTTTGGGACCCTGCACCTGCGTGGGAGACCCGGAAGAGGCTCCTGGCTTCGGATCGGCATAGTATTGGCCCGTTGCGCTCACTTGGGGAGTGAATCATCGGATGGAAGATCTTCCTCTCTGTCTCTCCTCTCTGTATATCCGCCTTTCCAATGAGAAAATAATAAAAATAAATCTTTAAAAAAAATTGTTTATTTTTGCCTAAATGAGTATTCTGAAGATTTCAAATTTATATTTAAAATTACAAAACATAAATTCTGAGGTAGTAATCCACATTTTAAAGGCAGAAACTGAAATCTTCCATGTTCTGGTTTAATTCACAATGCCTGCACCAGCCAGACTGAACTGAGCTGAAGCCAGGAGTCCAGAACCCAATCTGGTTCTCCCAGGAACCCAGCTACTTAAGTCAGTAAAGCAAAGGAGCAGTGAGGAGTACAGCCAATGTTTGAACCCAAGCACCCCAATAAGGGATGTGAACGTACCACTGTTTGGCCGAATACTTGCCTCTAAAACTTTTTCTAGGGGCCTGGTGGCGTGGCCTAGGGGCCAAAGTCCTTGCCTTGAACGCGCCAGGATCCCATATGGGCACCAGTTCTAATCCTGGCAGCTCCACTTCCCATCCAGCTCCCTGCTTGTGGCCTAGGAAAGCAATCAAAGTCGGCCCAAAGCCTTGGGACCCTGCACCTGTGTGGGAGACCTGGAAGAGGTTCTTGGTTCCCAGCCTCAGATCGGCGCAGCACTGGCCGTTGTGGTCACTTGGGGAGTGAATCATCGTACAGAAGATCTTCCTCTCTGTCTCTCCTCCTCTCTGCATATCTGACTTTGTAATGAAAATAAAGAAATCTTAAAAAAAATAAAAAAATAAAACTTTTTCTAGACAAATGAGGATAGGGAGGGCAAAACTAGAAAGATACTATAAAATAAGAGGACAACTTTTACCTTATTAGAACTTGCAAGACAATATATACAATTCCTTACTTTTCGTTGCTATAAAAAAATGTTTTTAAGTCCTTAGCCACATCTCCCTGAACCCTCAGCTGATGACCTCATTTCCTGCTTTTAGAAGATGTTTGCTGTGCAGCTACAACATTTTCTGTTGCTCATTTGTGGTGTGTTGCTACTATAACACTTCTCATCTTTCCTTTCTTTGACCCTGTGTCTGAGAAAAGTGAATTCCTGTAAGAAAGTCCAATGCTAATTTATCTATGAGTCTTCTGAGTTCAAGACAAATGGAATGGCTGTGACTGCAAATCCCTTCCTCTCTGGATTCTTACTTTTTTTTTTCAAGATTTATTTATTTTTATTGGAAAGGCAGATGTACAGTGGAGGAGAGACAGAGAGGAAGATCTTCCATCCAGTGGTTCACTTCCCAAGTGACCGCAACGGCTGGCCTGAGCCAATCCGGAGCCAGGAGCCAGCAGCTCTTCTGGGTCTCCCACGCTAGTGCAGAGTCCAAAGGCCTTGGGCTGTCTTCAACTGCTTTCCCAGGCCATAAGCAGGGAGCTGGAGCCGGATGGGAAGAAGGGCCGCTGGGATTAGAACCGGTGACCGTATGGGATCCTGGCACATGCAAGGCGAGGACTTTAACTACTACACTATCACACCGAGTCCTCTGAACTCTTCCTTTACAGCCCCCTCAGCTGAATGAAGGCAGAGCCCTTGTTTCCTGCTAGGAAGATGAGTTGTAAAAATAATTGTCATGTTTTCCTTTCCATGTCACTTATGAAGTGAGCATTTCCTTGCTTTGACAGAAAAGATCGCTGTTTTATCTGAGTGTCTCTGACTTGCTCCTGGGAATCTGCTGGCTCGCCGAGGCACTTCTCTATGGAACTGCAGGAGCCAATAAAGATGTCGTCTGCTATAACCTGCAAGCAGTTGAACAGGTGAGTGCTACTGGACCCATTATGGTTTGCAGTGAGCAGATAGATACTCAGATCTCAATAGAAAGTAAAGATGATCCATTCTGGAAGGTGAATACCCATTAGTGTATCGCTACACTTTAAAGAGTAGCACAGATTAATCATCAGTAATCCAAAAGTCTTGAAATCTAAATGATTCAAAATCTGAAACTTTGTGGAAATTGCCTTATCTTGCCTCATATGATGGGATCAGAGTTAAAATGTGGGCCTACCAACAATATTGTATAAAATGACCTTCAAGGCCCAGCGCAGTAGCCTAATAGCTGAACTCCTCGCCTTGCATGTGCTAGGACCCCATAGGGGTGCCATTTCATGTCCTGGCAGCCCCACTTCCCATCCAGTTCCCTGCTTGTGGCCTGGGAAATCAATAGAGGATGGCCCAATACCTTGGGACCTGCACCTACATGGGAGACCTGGAAGAGGCTCTGAGCCCTGGCTTCGGATCGGTTCTGCTCTGCTGTTGCCGTCACTTGGGGAGTGAGTCATTGGGTGGAAGATCTTCCTCTCTGTCTCTCCTCTTCTTTGTATATCTGACTTTCCAATAGAAATAAGTGTTTAAAAAGTGTTTTCACTTACTAAAAGTTGATTGCTGGCATATATAAATATACAGTCCAGCATTATGTGGCTCAGTGCATGAAGCTGCCACCTGTGATACCAGCATCTCATATGACTGCCAGTCTAGTCCTAGCTGCTCCACATTGGATGCAGTTTCTTGCTGATGCTCCTGGGAAAGCGAGAGAAGCTGGAGCAAGTGATTAGGCCTCTGCCACCTACATGGGAGAACCAGACAGAGTATCAGATTCTTAAGTTTCACCTGACCCACCCTCGCCTTTGCAGCCATTTCGTAAGTCAACCAGCGGGTAGAAGAGCTCTCTGTCTCTCCCTCTTGCTCTGTAATATTTGAAATTAAATATTTCAAATAAATCTTAAAGTATAGTCACCTGCTATGCCACAGCACTGGTCCTTGTTACCTTTGTTTGAGGATTGTTTATGCATATTGTATCTGTATGTGAGTATCGTTTATACACTAGAATTCTACCGATCTGTTGAGTACCAGGAGGTGGCCAATGCTGGAGTTCTCGGCACACACAAAAGGCTAACAGTGAGAGGAGAGGCATGTTTCAGAATAAAGATGGTAATCATGGTAGAATTCTCAGGCTTGCCCTACTTCTACCTATTGGGAACACTAGGTGAAATGTTACTAATAGCACATAGATAGGATTCTCATAATTTTCAGAATATTATGCCTTATATTGAAGAACATCAGAGTGGAATCATTGTGATTGTTTCGATTTTCACGCAGATATTCTACTTTTCCTCAATTCTCTACACCATCAATTACATCTGGTATCTGTACACAGAGCTGAGGATGAAACATAACCAGAGTGGACAGAGCACACCTCCATTGGTAAGCCTCACGCAGAGTGGGTGGACACTAAGAGACTTCCATGTCCTTAAGAAACAGTGTAAATATTCAGAAGTAAGTGGAGTTTTGTTTCTTCGTTTTTCTTTTCTTTTTTTAACAGAGGTTCTGACCTTATTAATCAAAAAAACTTGTGAGGCTAGTGACTGTTCTGTCAAAAAAAGGCATCAAATAGGAGAGTTAAGGGTATTGTGAGGAAAATGGCCAGGAATCCACTCATGAAAACCAGAAATTATTACTAGGGAACTTGTAAGGAAAACTGAAAGAAGGAGATGCATACAAGAGTAAGAATTTGGGACTGGCACAGTGGCATAGCAAGCTAATTCTCTACTTGCTGCATGACATCCCATATGGGCACTAGCTTGAGTCCTGGCTGCTCCACTTCTGACCAGGCTCCCTGCTAATGGTCTGTGAAAGCAGCCAGGAGGATGTCCCAAGGTTTATGCATCCATGTGGGAGACCCAGGAGAAGTTACTGGCTCCTCCATCTCTGACTGTTGCAACCATTTGGGGACTGAACCAGTGGACAAAAGAGATCTCTCTCTGTCTTTCAAGTAAAGTAAAATTCTTTTAAAATGAAAGAGTGAATTCTAAAAAAAGTGGAAATGGTGAGGGCAGAGAGCTCCCAGGAAACCTTGGAGTACACTAGAGGTGACTGTGATGACAGCAGTCTTGCTTTTGAGAACATAGGGTAGAGTTCCCACTCAGCGGTGACCTCTGGGGAGACGTGCTGGGGCTGCAGCCTCCAGGGAGGGCTCCACACTACTCCCGTGGCACTGCCCAGAGCTGCTTGGCACTGGGGCTCCCTGGGCTCTTCAGCTACTCCGGAAAAGTTCTTCACCTTTCTTTAGCACCACAAACTGGCCAAGGGAAACATGAGCCTCATTCAAGCCCCTTTCCTCCAGCTTCTTCCCCAGGACTTCACCAGTCCTAGCTTGCCTCCCCACTGGAATTCTCCTCATTGGACCCACCTTGACCTCTTGGTGCCTTTGGGGTGCTGTCATCTTAATTAGGCTTCATGAGCAGCTCCTGCTCTCTACTCACCACCTGGCTGCTCCATGGCACTAAGTGAAATTTTGGAGATAAACCAAAGAAAAACCATGTTACCAATTTCCATTCTGTAGACATCCCTTCCTCTTCTTTGCCTCTTTCTCCTGTTGCCACACGCAAAGAATTAACTATAGAAAACACGGGCCTGGCATGGTAGCTTAGTGTCTAAGGTCCTCACCTTGCATGCACCAGGATTCCACATGAGTACCGATTTGTGTCCTGGCTGCTCCACTTCCCATTCAGCTTCTGCCAGTTGTCTGGGAAAGCAGCAGAGCATAGCCCAAAGCCTTGGGACCCTGCACCCACATGCGAGACTCAGAAGCTAAAGTTTCTGGCTTCTGGCTTTGGCTCAGCTTGGCTCCAGGTGTTGCAGCCACTTGGGGATTGAACCACTGGATAAAAAATCATTCTCTGTGTCTCTCCATCTCTGTAAATCTGACTTTCCAATAAATAAATAAGTAAATAAGTAAATAAGTAAGTAAATAAGTAAATAATTTTTTAAAAAAAGAAAATGCATTTTGTAATAGTACTATTCCTGCTTGATTTGATTCAGAAAGGGAAATGTTTCTTGGCTCCAAATCACTTCATTGTTGTTACTAGAGTAAAGAAAATTGTCTTGTGACTGACATTGTAGTGTCACAGGTTAAGCTCCTGCTTGCATTGCCAGCATTCTATATTGGAGTGGCAGTTTGAGTCCCAGCTACCCTTCTGATCTTGTTCCCTTCTAATGTACCTGAGAAAGTAGCAGACGATGGCCGAATACTCGGACCCTTATCATCCCTGTGGACGTCCTGGCTGGAGTTCTAGGCTGCTGGTGTCAGCCTTAGCCAACACTGGCTTTGCGGCCATTTGAGGTTGCATCCTGGGTGTCTGTCTGCCTGTCTTGCTCTCTGTTTCCCTCTCCCTGCCTCCCCTTTGTTTCTCTGTCTTTGTGTCTTTTAAAGAAATATATCTTTTCAAGACTCCGGGAAGGTTCTCTGTCTGCCAACATGGGATTTGGATCTGCAGCTGTTGCAGAGAGAGAGTGTGTTTGTTCTGCTTTGCTGTACTTCTTCAGTATGTGTCAATGACCAATATTCTTCTTTTTTTTTTCTGCTGTTCGCTTTCTTTCTTTTTTTTTTCTTCTATTTTTTTTTGCAAATGGGCAGAAGAATTAGGAACGGATTATAGAATTATTTATATTTATAAAACTATTTAATTATGGAACTGTGTAGCACAGGTATGAAGTTGCAGTGTGTCCTTATGTGGGCATACTGTTAAATGTAGCAGATTTTATTATTACTGCACATACTCTACCCTGTTCTGCCAGTGTGTAATTTATCCATGGTTAACTTAGCTAGGCAACCCCAGATCTGAGTACTTGCTGTAATCTGTCCTATAGTCTGAGTTAGGTTGCCTCAGGGAATAGACAGATTTTTCAGAGTTGTTTAAAAAAATTTGCTCAGTGAGGCATAGTAAGATTTGTTGCCAGAGTCCAGCTCCAGCCAAGTTTGGAAATCAAGAAAGGTGTGTAGCATTGGTGAAAAGAAAAGACACGGACACTGTCTTTTGGTGCCCTCTTGTAACAGCTCAAGAAGAAGCTGTCTTTTTTTTTTAAAAAAAATTATTTATTTATTTATTTATATTGCAAAGTCAGATATACATAGCGGAGGAGAGACAGAGAGGAAGATCTTCCTTCTGATGATTCAATCCCCAAGTGACCACAACGGCTGGATCTGTGCTGATGGGGAGCCTGGAGCTCTTCCAGGTCTCCCACGTGGGTGCAGGGTCCCAAGGCTTTGGGCCATTCTTGAATGCTTTCCCAGGCCACAGGCAGGGAGCTGGATGGGAAGTGCAGCAGCTGGGATTAGAACCAGTACCCATATAGGATCCCGGTGCATTCTAGACCACTGCGCTGGGCCGGAAGCTGTCCTTTTTATTTACCCAGACAGATCACAAGCCTCTGCACAGTGCTTTGATTGTTCTATCTTTACTTTATGACTAAGTGGGTATGCATAAATGTTTGATTATTTTATTTTTTACTTCATGGTCAACCAGATGCTCTTAAAGATCATTTTGTAAGTTACCATAATAATTTTCTTCAAAGCAAGCCATTTTCAGTAGTAGCCATTGGGTGACAGCCAGGACTCCAAAGCCAAGGCAAATGTGATTACCTGCTAATCAGTAATACTTTTCTATTATATTTCTGTTTCCACAACTTGCCCATCATTTAATGGGAAAATATGTTACAAGGGAAAAACCATAAAAATCTAAGACAAAAGTTTCAAATGTTAAATCTCCTTATGATTACAGGCTCTATAACTCCATAAACAAACAATAATTAAAAGCATATCTCCATAATACTAATAAAAGCACCCTTTATTTCCTTTAGCCAAAAATTATAAAAGAGGCTAAAACAGCTACATGCCCTATGCTCCAAAGAAATTGCAAAACAGGATAGCCTTTAAGGTCACAGTAACTATATTTGTTGCCATAGCAGCTTTAGCTCATACTCCCATCACTTTCACCAACATTTAGGATATTTATCAAGCCTTTTCCTGATGGTGTGCTACATGTCTGGGCCAGATTCTGAGGCAATGGTTAGGCACACAATAGGTGTCCAGAAATGGCATGGGCTTAATTGTGCTCCTGTGGGTAAATTGTTAAAGGCCCACTCACCAAGGAGTCGACGTGTGCAGAAGTGCTACTAGTCCAGTCCTTGTTCCCGTCTCGGTACCAGCTTCCTTCTGCAGTGCAGGCAGTGGTGTTGGAGGCCAGCGGAAAAAGGAGTCGATTTGGCGGGATTTTGCAGGTCTGTTGTTTTCTGAGCAGCTCGAGACCAGAGAAGGAGAAGGAAGGAACTGAGCTAACCAGTGCTCGAAGTAATTGCTCTTGAAATCAGCAGGAAAAAGGAAGGAAGACAGGAAGGGAAAGAAGAATGACAGAGAAAAACAAGGTGAAACCCTGCCAAAAAATGGAAGGAAACCCAGAAAGTGAGAGTAAACCAAAGCTTGAGGAAGAGCCAAAGCCCGAGGAAAAGCCAGATGAGGAAGAGCCTGTGGAGCTGGCAAAAGCCGAGGAAAGGCCCACTCACCAAGACAGTATCAGCCACTTTAACTCCGACTCACAACCGTTGCAAAGCTCATCTCACAGGGACAAACAACAATGCCTCAATAGGTTACAGAATTCTTAGTGGGGTGGTTGAGTGTCCATGCAAAAGGGGTTGAGATTGCATCAAGTTGGTCAGAGAGACATCTGCTGGGCCTTGCCAAACAGCTGGAAGCACCTCTGGGCATTGCCAAACAGGGGAGCTGTTCTCTTCACACCTTTGTGTCATCCACACCCACTGCATGGACCCCAGCAATTTCCTCCTGTGACAGTGGAAGAACTCATGAGGGAATTTTCCTCCAAATAACAACTTCCCAAAAGAGTCAGGAGGAGAGGTACTTAAAACATGTCTGCCATAAACCAAAGAAGCCTCAATATGGAAGATGCCAGGATTGTACTTACCTTTTTTATTTTGGAAGAGATATTTGACTCACATGAGTAGGCAGTTATCTTCTGCACACACTTGTAAATGCTCAAGAGGTAAAACTTTAATTCTTGGCAAATATACCCAGTTTAGATAACTTGAGGTTTAGCTGTAGTAAAAGTGCTAGATAGTAACATTCTTTCCTTTTAGGCTAATCAAGTTTTTAGCAAAACTGGATTTGGGAGATCAGTTGTTCATGATTTTTGGAATCATATACTAGGAGAATTTTGTTTCCATATTTCATCAGAACCTTTTGTACCTGAGCTGGTTTGTTAACCTGACCTAGTTCTGAAGCAGCCTTAGGTCCCCTTGATGGACTCTGTAATAGAATGTGATTAGAGTTCTAGGACGGTAGCCTAGTGGCTAAATCCTTGCCTTGCATGCACCCCGATCCCATATGGGGGCCGATTCTAATCCCAGCTGCT